CGAGCCAAATACTCCGAGCGCACGTTCATTCTAAATGTGGAGGGGGAAAACCGGAGGACCCGGAAAACAATCCCACGCGTTCACGTGGAGAGAGACACGCAAAGAAATAAACAGCAGCGGGCGTCAGCGTTGGTATAGAGCCCCCGACCTCCTGCATACCAGGCGAGGTAGTTAACATCTCGCCAACCTTGCGTGTTGGGGGCCCCGCACTGAAGGTCACCAGGGGCCTGCGTGTGGCTCACGGGGCTTTTGCAGTGGAGAACAATGAGCGATTTTGACGCTTGGTTGAGACAGAGATAGGGGGGTCATTAAAGAATCATAATTTATTCTGGAGAAATCCGATGATCTATGAAGCTCCTTTTCACAGATATCCAGTAGCTCGCAGATGTCCAGTAATACTTCGATATGCAAATATTCGGTTTACGAATTTTCAGTAAAACAACCTCTGGATTTAGAACCATTATTTTAATTGTAATTTAAATAAAGTATTACAAATTTCACGGAAATTAATTAATAGCAATAAAATTCCATCTACAGTACAATATCAATTAGGATAACATAATTAGATGTTTCATGAGCGTTGCACATCGCGATGAGTAAAAGAATGTTCGTTTAAATCTTGACTTAAAGCTTTCGTGACTGCAGGAATTCACATTCTTTGGGTCTTTCGGTAAAGTCACGTAGATAGGTTCAAAGAAAATAACAAAAAAAATTACAAAAACTACGACGTTTCGATCACAACACAAGCGATCGTCATCAGGAGGAAAAAAAAGGATGACGATCGCTTGTGTTGTGATCGAAACGTCGTCGTTTTTTGTTATTTTCTTTGAACTTATCTACGTGACTTTACCGAAAGACCCAAATAAAATGTTTGTTTACATTCGTCTCAGCCAATCAGCGCGCAGCAACGCACTGCGTACAGAGCTATGGTGTTTGGTGGGTAATTAAACCTTATGACTTGCACCAACGACTACACTGGCCAGGGTGAATATATTTTACAGGACACTGTTTCTTTATTTTTGTCAGTTTTTTTTTATTTTAATACTATACAGCATAACATTATTTTAAATAAAACAAAGTATTTGTTTATGTATGTTGAACTTCTTTCGCACCGTATGTAGCCAACCGTGATAATCGGATGTGCAGGGGGACAACAAACTGGGTCTCTGTGTGAGTCTATGGGTCTCTGTGAGGGTCTATGGGTCTCTGTGTGAGTCTATGGGTCTCTGTGTGAGTCTATAGGTCTGTGTGAGTCTATGGGTCTCTGTGTGAGTCTATGGGTCTCTGTGTGAGTCTATGGGTCTCTGTGTGAGTCTATGGGTCTCTGTGTGAGTCTGTGGGTCTCTGTGTGAGTCTATGGGTCTCTATGTGAGTCTATGGGTCTCGGTGAGAGTCTATGGGTCTCTGTGAGCGTCTATGGGTCTCTGTGTGAGTCTATGGGTCTCTGTGAGAGTCTATGGGTCTCTGTGTGAGTCTATGGGTCTCTGTGAGAGTCTATGGGTCTCTGTGTGAGTCTATGGGTCTCTGTGTGAGTCTATGGGTCTCTGTGTGAGTCTATGGTCTCTGTGTGAGTCTATGGGTCTCTGTGTGAGTCTATGGGTCTCTGTGTGAGTGTATGGGGCTCTGTGTGAGTCTATGGGTCTCTGTGTGAGTCTATGGATCTCTGTGTGAGTTTGTGGGTCTCTGTGTGAGTCTGTGGGTCTCTGTGTGAGCCTGTGGGTCTCTGTGTGAGTCTATGGATCTCTGTGTGAGTCTATGGGTCTCTGTGTGAGTCTATGGGTCTCTGTGTGAGTCTATGGGTCTCTGTGTGAGTCTGTGGGTCTCTGTGTGAGTCTACGGCTCTCTGTGTGAGTCTATGGGTCTCTGTGTGAGTCTATGAGTCTCTGTGTGAGTCTATGGGTCTCTGTGTGAGTCTATGGGTCTCTGTGTGAGTCTATGGGTCTCTGTGTGAGTGTATGGGTCTCTGTGTGAGTCTCTGTGTGAGTCTATGAGTCTCTGTGTGAGTCTATGGGTCTCTGTGTGAGTCTATGGGTCGCTGTGTGAGTCTATGCGTCTCTGTGTGGGTCTATGGGTCTCTGTGTGAGTCTATGGGTCTCTGTGTGAGTCTATGGGTCTCTGTGTGAGTCTGTGAGTCTCTGTGTGAGTCTATGAGTCTCTGTGTGAGTCTATGGGTCTCTGTGTGAGTCTATGGGTCTCTGTGTGAGTCTATGAGCCTCTGTGTGAGTTTATGAGTCTCTGTGTGAGTCTATGGGTCTCTGTGTGAGTCTATGGGTCTCTGTGTGAATCTATGGGTCTCTGTGTGAGTCTATGGGTCTCTGTGTGAGTATATGGGTCTCTGTGTGAGTCTCTGTGTGAGTCTATGAGTCTCTGTGTGAATCTATGGGTCTCTGCGTGAGTCTGTGGGTCTCTGTGTGAGTCTATGGGTCTCTGTGTGAGTCTATGTGTCTCTGTGTGAGTCTATGGGTCTCTGTGTGAGTCTAATGGTCTCTGTGTGAGTCTATGGGTCTCTGTGTGAGTCTATGGGTCTCTGTGTGAGTCTATGGGTATCTGTGTGAGTCTATGGGTCTCTGTGTGAGTCTATGGGTCTCTGTGTGAGTCTATGAGACTCTGTGTGAGCCTATGAGTCTCTGTGTGAGTCTATGGGTCTCTGTGAGTCTATGGGTCTCTGTGTGAGTCTATGGGTCTCTGTGTGAGTCTATGGGTCTCTGTGTGAGTCTATGGGTCTCTGTGTGAGTCTATGGGTCTCTGTGTGAGTCTATGGGTCTCTGTGTGAGTCTGTGGGTCTCTGTGTGAGCCTGTGGGTCTCTGTGTGAGTCTATGGGTCTCTGTGTGAGTCTATGGGTCTCTGTGTGAGTCTATGGGTCTCTGTGTGAGTCTATGGGTCTCTGTGTGAATCTATGGGTCTCTGTGTGAGTCTGTGGGTCTCTGTGTGAGTCTATGGATCTCTGTGTGAGTCTATGGGTCTCTGTGTGAATCTATGGGTCTCTGTGTGAGTCAATGGGTCTCTGTGTGAATCTATGGGTCTCTGTGTGAGTCTATGGATCTCTGTGTGAGTCTATGGGTCTCTGTGTGAATCTTTGGGTCTCTGTGTGAGTCTGTGGGTCTCTGTGTCAGTCTATGGGTCTCTGTGTCAGTCTATGGGTCTCTGTGTGAGTCTATGGGTTTTCGTGTAAGTCTGTGGGTCTCTGTGTGAGTCTATGGGTCTCTGTGTGAGTCTATGGGTCTCTGTGTGAGTCTATGGGTCTCTGTGTGAGTCTATGGGTCTCTGTGTGAGTCTATGGGTATCTGTGTGAGTCTGTGGGTCTCTGTGTCAGTCTCTGGGTCTCTGTGTCAGTCTATGGGTCTCTGTGTGAGTCTATGGGTTTTCATGTAAGTCTGTGGGTCTCTATGTAAGTCTCTGTGTGAGTCGGTGCGTATCTGTGAGTCTATGTATTTACTTATGTTAAACGTATTGCGCACCGTACGTATCCAAACAGTGTTAATAGGTGTTTACAATATGAATGGTAAGTTATGACGTGTTTATAGTGTGAAATGGTAAGTTACGAAGGCAGGGAACGCCTCCTCATTGTACCAATGTTATAAGTTATTGAATATACGACGTTTCGATATACGAACAAAGCTGCATGGACTCATCTGCTTCGTATATCGAGGTATTACTGTGATCTCAAATCTCCTACCACGACATCCTGCGGCCTTTCCTATCAATACAATTGTGGCGAGGTGTTAACTACCTCTCCTGGTATACAGGATGTAGTGGGTTCGATCCCGACCTTGACGCCTGCTGTAGTATATTTGGTAAATGGGACCTTTTTTGTCAGTATCGAAGTATGAAAAAATAAGAATAGTGTTTCCCCTTTCTGGCAATAAAAAGGTGTTAAGATGTTCAAACACCAAATATAAACTTTTCGCAAGGAATCATGTCCGCATTAACCCCACGTATTTCTGATGGAAATGCAAACTAAAGCACACTCTGGTAATAGAATTGCATTGTCTTTTCAAACTGATTGGTCTTCGCCAAGGCGTTCTCTGGTCTGACACTGGTGAGACTAGGGCACTAGGCCATGAAGAACAAGGCTGTCCTCAGGTGGAGGCCAATCAGTTTCAAAGACGATGCATATATAGAGTAATTATCAGAGCATGGTAAACACTTAGGATTTCGCGACCAATATAATCCATAATATCGGGTTTTTTTTGGGTTAGATCGCGTAAATATAAATGTGTCATATTCTTAGCTCTTTCGGTAAAGTCACGTTGAAGGGAAACAATAAAATAATAAAATATGTTTTATTATTTTATAATTTTATAACAAAATAGATATTTTATTATTTTATTTATTATTATTTGATAATATATTATTATTTTATTGTATACCCTTCAACGTGACTTTACCGAAAGAGCTAAGAATATGAATTACCGCAGTCACGAAAGCTTTAAATCAAAATATAAATGTGTCGTTAAACACGGCACAGCAAATTAGTAAGGTTTGTCACGTAAACAGAACACGCCAATTCGTTACAGCACACCCGTGTGTTGGAGAGCAAATCTGCAGATCGTACTCAAGATTGCAAATGTTGTAGATTTGCTCTCCAACACACCGGTGTGCTGGACTAGTTTCATAGTTTCATTTATTTAGGAATAGCCCTGTGAGCCATTCGGCTCTTGAATCGGGTGCAACCGCAACAAACAAAAAAAAACATGAACAAGAAAAACGTCTTAAAGTGACTACGCGCAAACAGAAACATCCAGGAAAAAACTGCATCTTCAGAAGATCTTCAGAAGATGACCGTTTGAGTTATGGTCGAAACGTCGTGAGAATTTGTTATTGTTTTATATATATTTTGTTATTTTGTTGTTTCTCTTCAACGTGACTTTACCGAAAAAACTAAGAATATGAATTACTGCAGTCACGAAAGCTTTAAATCAAAATTTAGTAAGGAATTGGCACGTTCTGTTTCCGTGACAAACATTACTCTTAATTTGCTGTGTCGGGTGGCGGCTTTAACGACACATTCATATATTTACGCCATCTACCCACCACCCCCCCCTAAAACAACCTCTATGATGGATGACGTTGATCGCGTTAATGAACTACCCCTGAAGCATTGCGTACACGTGCGGAATCGACGCCAACGGAATCGGCACCTTGTGGAATCGACAACCGACGTAATCGATCCGCCTCACGCCGGTTTCGGGCACGGGCAAGTTATTGCCTTGGGGGTCTTCTCGGCCCCGCAAGTCGAGTGGCGGCAAGTCGCCTCCTCTGCCACGACGCCGTGTTCCTCCCGTGTTCCTCCCGTGTTCCTCCCCCGCTCGCGCCGAGAGCACGGGGAGAGAGAGAGAGGAGGCAGGCGGGCGGGCATCGTGGAGAAATCCTCGCGGCGTCGCGCGAGTGGAGGGAGGTAGGGCCTCGAGATTCCAAAAGCGCCACAGCGGCCCTCAGGTCATCCTGGGGTCGCCAGGACCCCGGCCCTAACCCTGAGCCTGGCCCTAAAGCAGATCCTATCCACAAACCCTGATCTTAACCCTAGCACTTGATCTTAGCTCCATTCCTGATTCTAACCTCAAACCCTTATCCTAACCCTAGCCCTGATGCTTAACCCGTGACGCTGACCCTAGCCCTGATCCTAACCTTGATCCTAACCCTAGCCCCGACTTTTAACACTAGTCTTGATCCTAGCTCTGACCCTTTCTCTAGCCATGATCCTAACCTTGATTCTAATTCATAATAAAGGTGTTTGGGTTGGATCGCGTTATTTATAAATGTGTCGTAACCCTCCACCACCCGACACGGCCAATCAGCAAATAAGTGTCACGTTGACCAAAGACAAATAGTTCACTACTTTAGCCCACCGGTGTGTTGAAGAGTGAATCCACAACATTTACAGTTTGAGTACGACGTTTCGCTGGTAATTACATCCAGCATCATCGGGCAATTCGCCAGAATGGTAAAGCCCTCGCTTGCTCCCGGTCTTAAATAGAGCAGCAGCAGAGTGACGTCATCATTTAACTCATTTCAGGTGCAGTGATTTGAGGCAGAGGGGGGGTATTATAATTATATAATCGATTGGTAATCAGTCAATGGTTATAATTAGTAGTGATTCTAACCCTAGCCCCGACTCGAACACTAGTCTTGATCCTAGCTCTGACCCTTTCCCTAGCCATGATCCTAACTTTGATCCTAGACAAAACCCTCACCCTCAAACCATCCCTGTTCCAATGACCATAACCCCAGCTCTGACCCTTGCATTATCTCTGACCTGACCTCTCACATTGACCCCAAACACCAACTCTTGCATTGACTCTGACCGGAGTATTTTACCCACACCGTGGCTGTAACCCTATCCCTGACGATAACCATGATCTTATCTCTCACCCAAGCATTCTAAATCTCTCTGACCCTGGCTCAAACCCTAAGATTATGATCCCTGGATTAGCCCTGGCCCTAACCCTGATAATGGCATTATCTCAAGTGCTGAATATATCTTTAATCGTGACCTGATTAACTTTGACCGTTCATCTATCCCATCCTGACTCCTGCCTTAACTATAGCCGAGCAAATGACAATACCATTAACTTTGCCTCTATCTTAGCCTTAACCCAGACACTTTTAATGATGAATCCATCTCCAACTATCGAATTCTACAGATTAAAGTTAATCGTGTTAACTGAATGCATCTCTTGGCCTCATCAGGTCACAAGGTCATCAGCTGATGAGATCACCCAGAAATGACCTCTGCACGGAACGCGTATGCTTCGTACCTTATTGAACATTTGGGTTACAATTGATGAATTGAACAAACAGTAAAGCGAGCTGTACTGAAACTCAAAACGTGCGTCAATAACATAAAACGAAAAAAATATAATTGGTGACGTTTCAGGCCATGGCTATTTTTTCACAACACATTATATACTTTACCTACCATCGCCTGAAGTGTCACCTGTTACATATGTTTTATTTTGAGGCAAAAGTCTTATTGACACGTGTTTTTTTTTTCTCTCATGATATTTGTGCTTGTGCACCACCATGTAATTCGTATAGCATTGAACGCTCTGTCCCTCACACCGCCAGGCATGGATGTAAATGCGAGCCCATCCAGGGATGAGGAGCAGCGCGGTGCCAAATCTGCACACCGGATCTCCGACCACAGTGAAGGTGACCCACAGAGAACTCGATTACAGCTGCTGGTGGTTCCAGCATTTGTACAGCGCAGAAACAGGGCCTGACTGAGTCAGACGTTTAGATAGCACAGCGGCATACATATAGCGGGCTACACTATGCCGATTAGTCTCTGAGATGGAGAACAAGTGCCCGTGGGAAATATTGGCCTGGGAGGCCCAGAGACTGATGGTTGTAAATGTCATTTTACTTTGAACCGGTGATATAGAAGTGTTTATTCAGTAAAAGCGGTACATAACCACAACCCGATAGCAGCAATGCATGCTTACATTTCACTGGTAGGGGAGGGTGAAGGCAAATGGCAACTTCTGATAAAAGCACACTTCGTTTATAACAACACTACATTTGATCTTAGCTCAGTTGCTCTTGCTCCCATGGGGTGTGCCTATGTCCACTTTTTACGGCATTTGAAAATAGTCTCTAGGCTCAGTGATGCACCCTGGGAAATGATAATGAATTTATTAAGTAAAGTTTGTGCCTGTTGTTGTGCATGTGTGTATTTAATTGGGGGGGGGGGGTGGTATTGTAGTGGTTTGTGCACTGCGCTATGACGAATATTTGAACTGGTCCTGGGCCTCCTCTAGGTCGACTCAGCCTTAAATAATTACCTGGTGCGGTGTGTAAACATTAGCATTCGGGAACGGAATCAGAAGAGGCCATGTGGGAGGGCGTCTGGTATAGTTTGGCACCAGCTATCATAGAGTGCGGTCGTGTCGTTACAGTCCCCTGCGGCGAGTACAATGTCTTTAAAAGCAGCGGCGTTACGCCTCTCTAAATAAAATTAACGCTGAGCCGCTCGCGTGTCCTGAGATTCGGCGGTGAACGGGGACCCCCACGCCCTGCAACCTACACGGGTGGGGGGGTCTGTGTCTTAATCGGCTTGCGCGCAGGGGGAGACACGGGAGCCCTCGGGGCGGCCGCTGACTTTGAGTCTCCCGCGTCACCTCTGCTGGGCGCCACGGACGACGACGTCGCCGTTGAGCGGCCTGGGGGAGCCGGGGATGCGAGGGGCCCAGCGTGCCGGAGGCGCGGGGGGCGCGGGGGACGGGACCCCGGTTGGGACGATCCGCGGGGGGCGCAGAGACGCAGACGGGGAGCGAGCGTCGCTGGGCCGAGCGTCGCTGGGCCGAGCGTCGCTGGGCCGAGCGTCGCTGGGGATGGACCGCAGCCTCCCGATGGCACAGGCGGTGAGGAGATGAAAAGTTTTGCTCCGATGGGTTTCGGGGGGGGGGGGGGAAGGGGTGCTGCAACCGCGACGTCTGTAGTTTCGTTCCACGTGCTGCCGGCTTCTTTAGGAGATTAATTCCCAGCCGCCTGGAATGGTGGGCTTGATTGTAGCTATAAAGTATTTATTTCATCATTGTTATTAACAATGCTTGAAACGTGTGTCAGACAGCCTAGACATTCTAGTGATCTTGAAGACGTCAGAGAGCTTGGGACTATTCAGGCTGTTTGACATCTCCAAGCTAAGAGGTCTGTTCGTTTTATTTTAAGGCGCTCTATGCAGTCGGTCACTCGACCTCCGCGCATGTCCGCTTGTGAGTGCAGAAGGCAGAGACGCGGTGGAGGGATGCACAGCTGAGGTGAGGGAGCCCCCGAGGAGGAGGGGGAGGAGGAGGAGCGCGCGGACTCGCGCCGAAGCGGGAGAAGCGGTCACAGTGGAGACGCCGACCCCGCCGACGGACGTCGCGAGCAACGGGACGGGGGAGGGGGCGGGCAACCCGACGCCGCCCCCGCGCCTCCCCCGCCCCCGCGGGCGCCCGCGCCTCGACCCCAAGCCGGCGGCGTGCGGCACCTGCGCCAAGATGTTCAGCGGCCGCCACGACCTGCGCAAGCACGAGCGCACGCACAGCGGCGAGCGCCCGTTCGCGTGCGAGCAGTGCGGCAAGGCCTTCGCGCAGGCCTCCGTGCTCAACCGCCACCGCCGCTCGCACACGGGCGAGCGGCCCTTCATGTGCGACGAGTGCGGCAAGACGTTCTCGCTGCGCTGCAACCTGCAGGCGCACAAGCTGGCGCACGCGGGCGAGCGGCCGCACGCCTGCGCCGAGTGCGGCAAGGCGTTCGCGCAGGCGCGCTACCTCGCCGTGCACGCCAGGAAGCACGCGGGCGCCCGCGACTTCGTGTGCGAGCGCTGCGGCCGCGCGTTTGCCCACTCCGCCAACCTGGCGGTGCACCGGCGCGGGCACACGGGCGAGCGGCCGTACGCGTGCGAGCGCTGCGGCCGCGCCTTCGCGTGCGCCGCGTGGCTGGCGCAGCACCGCGCCTGCCACACCGGGGAGCGGCCGTTCCGCTGCGAGGTGTGCGGCCGCGGGTTCTCGCGCGCCTGGGCCATTGCGCAGCACCGCAGCGTGCACACGGGCGAGCGGCCCTTCGTGTGCGAGCTGTGCGGCAAGGCCTTCCGCACCAAGCAGATGATGGCGCGCCACCAGCGGCAGCACGGGGCCTGCGCCGACGAGGGTGGGTGGGCCGCGGAGGCCGCGCGCTCGCTCCAGACCCTGTGCGACTGTCGGTCTCTGGCCGCCGCGCCGCGCTTTTATTTTGATCACCGCCACTATCGGGCCTGTCCCCCCCCCCCCCCCCACAGTGTTGAGTTTAATCTGTCTGTGGCAAACGCTACACGAGCCGCTTAACATATCGCCACCGCGGCGAGATGTTAACTCCCTCGCCTGGTCTATAGGAGGTCGTGGGTTCGATCCCGACCCTGACGCCTACTGTATATTTGGAGTCTGCGTGTCTCTCTCCCAGCGGTCGCGTGGATTCTTCTCCGGATCCTCCGGTTTTTCCCTCCATATTTAGAAACGTGCGTTTAGACTCTTTGGCTCCTTTAAATTTCCACACGATAAGCCACTTCGTCGGGCTATCATTTGTGGCCAGGTCGCTTCTGAAAAAGAGCTACGTAGCTCAGTGGGCCTCACCTAGTAAAATACAAAGTTTTTACTTAGGACAAGGAGAGAGGTCAACCTAAGTGCTTATGTGTCAGGTGTTTGACAAAGGAATAGTGTCCGTGTTGCTATGGGGGGCAGAGATCTTAAGTTTCTGTTCATTGTTGTAGATGTAATTGGATAGGTAGGCAAGGTGCCGATAGGTGTAGGAAGGAGGGCAGTTTGCCGAGAAAGGAAGGGAAGACCTCAAGTGGTGGCGGTTGTGATGGTGAATCTGTAAGAATGAACCACGGAGGACAGGTGTCGACCGTGGACAGAACCGCCGGATATAACGGCTTGAAGGAAACGCCGACGAGGTGCAGTGGCACCGATAGCATTGACCGCGGCTACCTGTTGACCCAGGCCTTTGGTGAATGGAACGTAGTGCGATGTGTGAAATGAGCAGAGACCAACGTGAAAAGGATGACGTCCTTTTCACGTTGCTCCCTGCTCATGTCGTCCTCGTGTATGTACGTTATGTTGAACTTCTTTCGCGCCGCACGTAGCCAACCATACTAATGGGAGGTGACGAGGGTCGATTGATGCGGCGATGGCTGAAGAGTTATCCTCCGTGCCACGGGCGATGGCTGGTCGGGTCTCATCCCTGCCGGGGTTGTCTCATCTCCGTAGTGGAGGACGCCCCCCTCTCGTGCGGCCTGGAGGTGCTGGCGCCGTGGACAGTCGAGGTGGCGACCTCTTCCCACCTTGCCACGTGCCAGGGCGTCATGCAGGGTGAGTCGTGGCGTGTAGGCCTCCGCCACGAGAGGCTGTGTTGGCGGCGGTGGTGGTGGTGGTGGTGGCGGTGGTTGTGGCGATATATGGAAAGACAGATGTATGGAAAAGCAAAAATTTGGGTCAGATCACAAAAGTAAAATGCGTGTTGTAAACCCTCCTCCACCCAACACAGCCGATTATAAAAGTCACCTGAATAAACCTGTCACTTTATTACTGCTTTAGCAGCGCCACCAGTGTGTTGAAGAGCAATCTACAAAGTTGAGCAAGATTGTTCGTAGCCAACAGTGCTAATCGGAGTATGCGGGGGAAGGACAACAACCTAAACACAAAAAGCACTTGTAAAGAAATGAGTTATAAATCTAGATTTAAAATTACATAACTCCAGTGCCTTCCTAATATCGAATAGAAGAGCATTCCAGACGGCCGCAGTAGCACACCTGATAGCGCTCGATGCGGTGATCTGTCTTTGTTCGACGGCCAGCTAAAAGCCGCCGCCGCGGCTGCTGCGAGGACGACCGAGGCCAGTACTAAGTTTGGAGTCGATCTGGGATTTGATTGGCAGCCGGCGGGGGGCTCCGTCGAACGGAGTCATGCGACGACGATTCGGTTCGATTTCACTGCTCGCGAAAATACCCACCGAAGACCGCTCGTGCAGTCCCCTCGATGCCGTCGGTTGAATTGACGCATCTGCGCGATCCCCCACGCTCGCTGCCCAGGCCTGGGGCCCGGAGCGGCTAACGCGCCGCCGCCGCCGCCACCACCGCCGCCGATCAAGTTCGTCGCCGTGGAGCCGAGCGAGCTGCACGAGGCCGACCTGAGCCGCGTGCTTCGCGAGGTGCTGGACCGTGGAGGCACCTACGACGGTGAGGGGGCAGGGGGACGGTGACCCGACTTCGATTCCCGGTCACGGCCGCCAACACCGTTTGATGCTTATCTGAACCTGTCCGAGGCCGCGTCTAGATGTTGGGCGCCGCGGTGGCGACGTTTAACTACCTCGCCTGGTATGCAGGAGGTCGTGGGTTCGATCCCGACCCTGACACCTGTTGTATATTTTTAGTTTGCGTGTCTCTCTCCCCGTGGTCACGTGGATTTGTCTCCGGGTCCTCCGGATTTCCCCTCCACATTTAGAATCAATGTGCGTTTACAGTATTTGGCCGCTATAAATGTCCACACAGTAAGCCACCACTTCGTTGAGCTGTCATTTGTGGTCAGGTCGCTTCCGAAAAATTAGCTAATCGCTGGTAAAATAAAAATAGTTTAATTGTTTAAAACTCAACCTGAAACGACCATCTGAAGGCGGTGCGTAAACATCAGCACTGGGGAGACGAAGGGCGTCGGGCGCGGTGCCTCGTGTACCGTGCCGGTCTTCATCGTTGCTTTCGAGCAGGACTTGAACTCGACATTCTGTTAAATGCTCTTCGGGCGATCGTTGTTTGTGTATGGCGAGTGGCGAGCGGTGGTATCGTGGTTAGCGCACTGTGCTTTCCGAAACCTGGCTACCAGTTTTATTCCCGCTCACAGTCAACATCAGCGGTGGAACATCTGAATCGGAGCGAGATGGCGACGGCTTGGGGAAGGGCTTCATCCAGCAGAGGATAGACCATGGCAGATGATGAATGGGATTCAGCGTTAGCACCCTGCATGGTTGAGAGACATTTCACTGGCCCTTAGGTGGTTCAAGACGCGAGCAGATTGATCCCGATAACTAAAATGATCGTGAAACGAGCGGTAGAAAGCGTCTTGTTTGGAAAATGCTCAGCGCAAGATGTTATTTTAATAATGGCATTATTCGTTTTTTTTTTTTTGCAGACGAAGATTGTGACCCTGCGAATGAATGCACACAAGTGATTATTCATATTGCTTCCGTGACCCCAGTGCAGCCAGGTGAGATTGTGCGGTGACGTCTGTGTGGTGGTCATTGCATGTTTGTGTAAAAACGTCAACGTTGGGGAGACAAAGGCGGCCGGGTGTGGCGGTGGCCAACACCCTCCTCGTGTGCCGGTCTTCGTAGGTACTCACTTGCCCCAGAAGTCTGTAAAGTCTATAGGGGGGATCCTTATACTTGTACAATAAAGGCGACGTTTCAGGCATCGGGCCTTATTCATAGCACATGGGCCTCCCCCTAGGTCGACTCATGGGCTATGAAGACGGATCAGTACCCGAAACGTCGCTTGTTAAGTATTTTGACTTTTAAGGCCAGTGTGACGAATGGCAGTTGTTTTTGTTTGTTAACTGCTCTTAGGCATCACCGCCAATGCAGTAGCATCACCACGATGGAGAGACGTTAACTACCTCGCCTGGTATGCAGGAGATCGTGGGTTCGATCCCGAACCTGACACCTGCTGTATATTTGGGGATTTCATGTCTCTCTCATTCTGGTTGCGTGGATTTTTCTCCGGGTCTTCCGGTTGTTCCCTCCATATTTAGAAACATGCGTTTAGAGTATTTGGTTGCTATAAATGTCCACGTGATAAGCCACTTGGTTGAGCAATCATCTGTGACCAGGTCGCTTCTGACAAAAAAAATATATAGCTCAGTGGGCCTTGCCTGCTAAAATAAAAAAAAATGGTTTTAGTTTAGTTTATAATTTGTTTACCACAGAGGCGTGTGTGCTTATGTCTAATTTTGGGAAGGGCTTTATTTTTCATGTACGTTTTGGACCCTCGCTCGCAGATGAAGGGGGGGCGTCTCTGACAGAACCAGGTGCGGAGTCCTGCCCCGAGGTCGCAGCTGAACATGAGCAGCACACGGAGCATGAGGAGCACGGGCAGCATGAGCAGCACGAGCAGCAGGAGCATCACGGACAGCACACGGAGCATGAGCAGTACCAGCAGCACGGGCAGCATGAGCAGCACATGGAGCACGGGCAACACGAGCAGCACATGGAGCACATGGAGCACGGGCAGCACATGGAGCACATGGAGCACATGGAGCACGGGCAACACGAGCAGCACATGGAGCACATGGAGCATGGGCAGCACACGGAACACGGGCAACACGAGTTCGTCGCGGAAGCCTCGAGCACGGGCGGCGTGCAGGAGGACGTGTCCGCGTACCACAACGCGGCGGCTGCCGGCGTGTGGGGCCAAGACAAGGACGACGCGGCCGTGGTGATCGTCATCATGGGTGCCACGGAGGAGCAGCGGCAGGAGGATAAGAAAGGGGAGGAGGGTGATAAGGAGGGGGAGCAGCGCGAGACGCGTCCGAGAGGGGGGGCAGCCGTCGAGGATTGCGAGGTCGACAGCGCCACGGACGTGATGGAGAGGGCCCCTCACAGGCCCGGCCGCCGCAAGAGGGCCGTCTCGGCGGGACTGGCGTGCGGCGTCTGCGGGAAGCGCTACTCGCGGCGCCACGACCTGCGCAAGCACGAGCGCACGCACAGCGGCGAGCGTCCGTTCGCGTGCGAGCAGTGCGGCAAGGCCTTCGCGCAGGCCTCCGTGCTCAACCGCCACCGCCGCTCGCACACGGGCGAGCGGCCCTTCATGTGCGACGAGTGCGGCAAGACGTTCTCGCTGCGCTGCAACCTGCAGGCGCACAAGCTGGCGCACGCGGGCGAGCGGCCGCACGCCTGCGCCGAGTGCGGCAAGGCGTTCGGTCAGCGGGCGCACTTGGCGGCACACCGGCGCGTCCACACGGGCGAGCGGCCGTACGTGTGCGAGGAGTGCGGCCGGCGCTTCGCCCACTCCTCCAACCTGACGCTGCACCGGCGGCGCCACACGGGCGAGCGCCCCTACGTGTGCGAGCGCTGCGGCAAGAGCTTCGCGCGCGCCGGCTTCCTGGCTACGCATGCGCGCAGCCACACGGGCGAGCGGCCGTTCGCGTGCGAGGTGTGCGCCCGCGGGTTCGCGCGCCGCTCGTGGCTCGTCATGCACCGGCGCTGCCACACGGGCGAGCGGCCCTACGCTTGCGTCGAGTGCGGCAAGGCGTTCGCGCGGCCCTCGGAGCTCGGCACGCACCGCCGCATCCACACGGGCGAGAAGCCCTACCCGTGCCACGTCTGCGGGACGCCGTTCCGCGTCAAGCACCACCTCGTGCGCCACCAGAAGAAGCACGCGGGGGAGGCGGCCGGCGTCCAGCCGTCGTAGCTGGGCGCTACGAACCCGGCGACCCGGGTTCGATTTGCGCTCACGGCCAACACCGGCGACGATTATCTGCTTTCGTCCTGGGCTTCCCCTGGGTCACGGTGTGTAAACATCGCCAGCGTGGAGACGAGGGCGGCCGGGCGTGGTGCCGGCCACACCACTCCCCCGTGAGCCGTGTGCCGGCCTTTAAAGGTTCCGCTCACCGTGTGAATGTGGCGTGGCTGCTGTGTCTGGCGGCTGGGAGACACCTACTGATGAATGGTGCGAATGAAATTCAGTCGGTAGCTTGCGCACGATTGGCCTAACATTTACAGCAATGCCCCGATTTACGTCTTCCCCATTTTAAGTCGCAAATACGTCGTCACTTTATTAACACCGCTACCTGATTTACGTCCGCCTCAAGCCCACACTCACGTCGCTGACAGCATCGTCCGTCCTCTCTCCTTATCCGTCGTCGCACCTTTCAGGAACACATCCCCGACGTAAACCGGGGTGTTACTGTTCATCCACAGCGTAATTAATTTATATTGCCTGTATTTGACACGTACTTATTTAGTTGCTTGCAAATTCGTATATTGTCACTGACCTATATTAATGCATTTTGGTCGGTTATTTGGCGATTACTGCATTGGCTGTGGTGCACAAGCACAAGTAAAAAAAAAAACAGCCTTAAAAGGAATATAAATACTGTAAATATGTGATGTTAGATGAAATTCTCCTATTTCAGAGCACGTGAATCGGCCAGTGAGTGGCGAATGTGTTGAGATTTTTTTGTTAACTAATTATTGTTGTTGCTAATCTGAGGTGCGGGGGGGGGACGACAAACTGAACACAAAAAGCAGTTCTAAATAAATTAGTTTTTTCAATCTTTATTTAAAAGTCCATAACTCCCAGTGGCCCCCTAATATTGGAAGGAACAGCATTCCAGACAGCCGCAGAAGCGCATCTAAAACAGCCTTAAAAGGAATATAAATACTGTAAATATGTGATGTTAGATGAAATTCTCCTATTTCAGAGCACGTGAATCGGCCAGTGAGTGGCGAATGTGTTGAGATTTTTTTGTTAACTAATTATTGTTGTTGCTAATCTGAGGTGCGGGGGGGGACGACAACAAACTGAACACAAAAAGCAGTTCTAAATAAATTAGTTTTTTCAATCTTTATTTAAAAGTCCATAACTCCCAGTGGCCCCCTAATATTGGAAGGAACAGCATTCCAGACAGCCGCAGAAGCGCATCTAAAACAGCCTTAAAAGGAATATAAATACTGTAAATATGTGATGTTAGATGAAATTCTCCTATTTCAGAGCACGTGAATCGGCCAGTGAGTGGCGAATGTGTTGAGATTTTTTTGTTAACTAATTATTGTTGTTGCTAATCTGAGGTGCGGGGGGGGGACGACAAACTGAACACAAAAAGCAGTTCTAAATAAATTAGTTTTTTCAATCTTTATTTAAAAGTCCATAACTCCCAGTGGCCCCCTAATATTGGAAGGAACAGCATTCCAGACAGCCGCAGAAGCGCATCTAAAACAGCCTTAAAAGGAATATAAATACTGTAAATATGTGATGTTAGATGAAATTCTCCTATTTCAGAGCACGTGAATCGGCCAGTGAGTGGCGAATGTGTTGAGATTTTTTTGTTAACTAATTATTGTTGTTGCTAATCTGAGGTGCGGGGGGGGGACGACAACAAACTGAACACAAAAAGCAGTTCTAAAGAAATTAGTTTTTTCAATCTTTATTTAAAAGTCCATAACTCCCAGTGGCCCCCTAATATTGGAAGGAACAGCATTCCAGACAGCCGCAGAAGCGCATCTAACAACCGCGCCGCCGCTGCGGATGACCGCAGCGGCGATTGCCAAGGTACAGATTTAAAACGCCAAGCGGTCATTATAATAACATTAAAAAAAACCAACAAGTTCATCCATAACACTTTGTGTGGCCTTAAAAGGTAAAATATATAATAGGTGTCTTCGGGAAATGGCCCTTGATAGCACACAAATAGTGGTTAGAAGAGTGGTTACGATGGAGTGGGTTGAAAAGTCCATGGTTGTGTTTCCACACTGATATTGTCCATCGTGCTTGTAAACTTCTTTTGGATACGTTGCCTATACAGCAAAAGGTGGTCCAGATGTCTTGTGACCCCCCCCCCCCCCCCCCAATTCTCTTAACCTGAATATTTATTTTTAATAAACAAAAATGTTAGGGGTCAACTGTACCACTCTGTCCAATACCACCTCCCCCTGAGTTCAAATCTATCACATGTAAATGAATGTGCATTGTTACACGTGTGTACATTAAAGTTAACAATTCATGAAATGAACCGTATGGTGGGACCCCGGGGTCCCATAAGCCCCTGGCTCTCGCATAAACATTATAATGTAAACAAAAACTTTGTTCTTTTTCACCAATGGGTTTGAAGGATGGTGGCCAGTGTTGTCTTGTTAAACTATGCCTTTAAAACTGAAAACTGCTTACCTGCAGTTACCTCTATTTAAATACACTATCGAAAAAATAATTTACACCCCTCTGTCAACCATCGTGTTTCTCGGTGTGGATTTGTGAACACACTTTCTAAACAGTACATGAAATAGTACGCGTTTTCAATGCGCTGTTTATATTGTAACAAGCGTTTATACCGATGTTACTCTACAGAGTAGTGGGTCGCCGCTCCTCTTATCCGCATTGATACGAGCGCAGTATGTGGGGACTATGGCTTAACCGCAAAAAAATAACCGATCTGCACAGATGCATACGGACAAGAGAAGTATTATACTGGTAGGAACGAAGTTGTAAACTGATTGTACCAGCCTGCAATAGATTAATGTGTCCGTCCGTCCCCTTTCAATACTGTAACGAAGTGAAATCTTGTGCTGTTGGGTGTACAATCAGCAATAGACAGCGCAGAGACTCGATGTCTTATTGCACCCAACATTTGGAAGTCACATTATCTCATTTGCGAACTTCTACCAGCCCACCCTGCAGGGACCTGTTCAAACAGAAAGGAATTAAACGGTGCAACGCATCTCATCTGCGAAATATCTGCAGGTAATAGGATTGTCATCGATTGATCCTGGCAGCAGACATTGGTGGGTCACAAATAATAATGAAGATAAGAGAGCAGTTTCACCGTATTACGCATACCGTGATGCCAAATAAAGGACTTGCGTCGTGCAGGCAGTTTGAGCAGCTTTGAATAAGGCTTGTTATGATCCTGCCCATACCCGAGCGTGGAGTGAGTGCATTCGCTTGTTCATCTCTTCTGTGCGCATTCGTCCTCGCTGATGCGCTTGGGCACGACGTGACACAACAGAATGATCCACGCCAGGCGGATCGCGACGTTGATGTGCGATTTTGACTTCCGTTTATTCGGGACCCCGGGGTCCCGCCATAAGGTTCAAATGATAGCTTGCACTAATTGGGGCGGGGGAGGGGGGGGTCACAAGACATCTGGAACACCCTGTACAGGACCTCCTCAGTACAAGATATAGTATCACATTTTAATGAATGTACAGTGTTACACGTGTGTACACTAATGTTCACAATTCATGCAATAGCATGAAATGATAGCTTGCACTAATTTGGGGGGGGGGAGGGGGATCACAAGACATCTGGACCACCATGTCCAGTACCTCCCCATAGTACAATATATAGTATCACATTTGAATGAATGTACAGTGTTACACGTGTGTACACTAATGTTCACAATTCATACAATGATAGCTTGTACTAATGGGGGGGGGGGGGGGGTGTCACAAGACATCGGGACCACCCTGTCCAGTACCTCCCCCATTTTTTTCTAGTACAAGATATCACAATTGACTGAATGTGCAGTGCTACACGTGTGTTACGTGAATGTTAATTCACGCAATGCCAGCTTGCACTGTGGCTCTGCGTGGGTTGTTGTTGTTGGCGGAGTTGAATAAAGTTTCACTTGAGACGTCAACAAAAAAAAACTCGTGCAGATTGTGTTTTTGTTTCTTCCACCCGCTCTGAAACAGCCGTGATTGGAATGAGGTCAAGCCACGTGGTGATTTTTTTAACGTGAATTGAGAAGGGGCCCAGCCATCCCTTCACAAGTAACGATGTTTACCGAGATGCGCAGTGCTTGCCAGGGCAGGGGGGGTCCGGCAATCAAAATAACAATAGTAATTTTTTAATCGAATTAAGTACAAAAAATATATATATTTACTTTGAACTTCATTCGCAACGTACGTAAGCCAACCGCGCTAATCGGAGTTATGGCAGAACAACAAACTATAGGTCTGTGTGTGAGTCTATGGGTTTCTGTGCGAATCTATGGGTCTGTGTGTGAGTCTATGGGTATGTGTGTGAGTCTATGGGTTTCTGTGCGAATTTATGGGTCTGTGTGTGAGTCTATGGGTCTGTGTGAGTCTACGGGTCTGTGTGAGTCTACGGGTATGTGTGTGTGAGTCTGTTTAACACGTAGGCTTTCGCGACCAATATTATTCATAATAAAGGTTTTTGGGTTAGATCGCATTTATTTATAAATGTGTCGTAACCCTCCACCACCCGACACGGCCAATCAGCAAAGAAAAGTGTCACGTTGACAAAAGACAAATAATTCACTACTTCAGCCCACCGGTGTGTTGAAGAGTTAATCCACATTTACAGTTTGAGTACGACGTTTTGCTGGTAAATACTTCCAGCATCATCGGGCAATTCGCCAGAATGGTAAAGCCCTCGCTTGCTCCCGGTTTTATATAGAGCAGAAGAGTGACGTCATCACTTAACTCATCAGGTGCAGTGATTAGAGGCGGAGGGGGGGGGTAATGTAATTATATAATCGATTAGTAATCAGTCATTGGTTATGATTAGTAATGAGTTGTAGATTAGTAATTCTTTAAATCAAAATGTAATGTGTATTATTTAATAATACGCTTCCAGGCCGCACTGAGCCGGAACAAGAATAACTTTAATCGCTCTGACAGCTACCGGCTCAGTGCGGCCTGGAAGCGTATTATTAAATAATACACATTACATTTAGATTTAAAGAATTACTAATCTACAACTCATTACTAATCATAACCAATGACTGATTACTAATCGATTATATAATTACATTACCCCCCCCCCTCCGCCTCTAATCACTGCACCTGATGAGTTAAGTGATGACGTCACTCTTCTGCTCTATATAAAACCGGGAGCAAGCGAGGGCTTTACCATTCTGGCGAATTGCCCGATGATGCTGGAAGTATTTACCAGCAAAACGTCGTACTCAAACTGTAAATGTGGATTAACTCTTCAACACACCGGTGGGCTGAAGTAGTGAATTATTTGTCTTTTGTCAACGTGACACTTTTCTTTGCTGATTGGCCGTGTCGGGTGGTGGAGGGTTACGACACATTTATAAATAAACGCGATCTAACCCAAAAACCTTTATTATGTGTGTGAGTCTATGGGTCTGTGTGAGTCTATGGGTCTGTGTGTGAGTCGATGGATCTGTTTGTGAGTTTATGGGTCTGTGTGAGTCTACGGGTCTGTGTGAGTCTACGGGTCTGTGTGAGTCTACGGGTATGTGTGTGTGAGTCTATGGGTCTGTGTGAGTCTATGGGTCTGTGTGTGAGTCGATGGATCTGTTTGTGAGTTTATGGGTCTCTGTGTGAGTCTATGGGTCTGTGTGAGTCTATGGGTCTGTGTGTGAGTCTATGGGTATGTGTGTGAGTCTATGGGTTTGTGTGTGAGTCTATGGGTTTGTGTGTGAGTCTATGGGTTTGTGTGTGAGTCTATGGGTTTGTGTGTGAGTCTATGGGTATGTGTGTGAGTCTATGGGTCTGTGTGAGTCTATGGGTCTGTATGTGAGTACGGGTCTCTGTGTGAGTCTATGGATCTGCGTGTGAGTCTACGGGTCTCTCTGTGAGTTTATGTGTGTATGTTGACTTACTTTCGCACACCGTACGTATCCAAAACCGTGCTGATCGGAGCCACGGAAATACGAGCCGGTTGTCCTTAACAAAGAACGTAACGAGGCAGTTCCTTAGAGAGATCCACAGGTTGCGCGAGCCTTGTGCACGGGTGACGGCCGTGCCGAGTACACCAGGTGTTATAGGCTGTGGCGGAGCCTATGCTGTCAGCAGAGGGCAGTGCATCAAGGGTTTGGTCCACCTTGGGATGGAGAATAACCCCCTTCTCTTGTACTCCACGCCCCACCGCAAATCATATTATGTTCCAATCATGTTTTTTTTTACTGGAGGAATCCGAAGAGCTATACAGCTCATTAACAGATGTATATCTGTCAATCCCTTATCAGTGCCCTACTTTATTACAGACCAATTTAGACCTTATTGGTCACCCTGTGCCCCTTTATAAATCTCAACGTTCATCCTACAAAGTCCCACGACAAAGGAGAAACACAAACTAATATACATATTTTTATTTTCTGCCCCCTACTGAAACGGCTGTACGCCGTATGGACCTGAAAATTAAATTTCCCCTGTACAAAAATACGGGTAAGCCGTATGGGTTGACAGGTAAGTAGTCGTGTAGTGTATAGTAGTGTATAGCAGTGTATAGTGTAGTGTATAGCAGTGTATAGTGTAGTGTATAGTAGTGTATAGTGTAGTGTATAGTAGTGTATAGTGTAGTGTATATTGTAGTGTATAGTAGTGTATAGTGTAGTGTATAGTAGTGTATAGTGTAGTGTGTAATGTAGTGTATAGTAGTGTATAGTGTAGTGTATAGTGTATAGTAGTGTATAGTAGTGTATAGTGTAGTGTATAGTAGTGTAGTGTATAGTAGTGTATAGTGTAGTGTATAGTAGTGTATAGTGTAGTGTATAGTAGTGTATAGTGTAGTGTTTAGTAGTGTATAGTGTAGTGTATAGTAGTGTATAGTAGTGTATAGTGCAGTGTATAGTAGTGTAGAATAGCACACCTGTCAACCCCTCATCAGTGCCCTACCTTATCACAGACCAACTCAGACCTTATTGGTCACCCCGTGCCCCTTTATAAATCCCAACGTTGATCCTATGAACTCCCACCACAAGGTGAGAAACACAAACCCATAGACACTTTATTATGTTTAGCCCCGTTATTGAAACGTCTGAAACGTGTGGGCTTGTGACTGGTATGCAGATGTCCCACAGCCACTCACGAGCCCAACAACAGCCAAGGCGAAGTGGGGAGGACGGCGTCCAAGCTTTTATAAAACAAAAGAAGTTTAAATTTAAAATAAATCTCTCTCGGCTCTTTCACGGCGTCCGCGTTTCACGCCGCCTGTGGGACTGTGAACCACACGACTTTGTGTTGCTGTCCGAGCCGCTTTCATAATGACGTAGTAAAAAAACACACACACATCCTTATCTGTTGTATTATGCCCGAAACGTCGTCTCTTGTGTATTTTTTGTAACAAAAAAATGTGTTATGTGCTGTGAAGGGTCGTCGCCCGAAACGTTGTCGACTGTGCTTTTTTTATTTTACGGACGGTTACTGACGAACGTTTTTATTGTTCGTGGCCGTATTTATTAGATGCTTTAAAACAATTTAATGAGTTATTTTTTTTAGATAAAATGTTAAATTATAAATGCATTTTGATTTTATTATATTTTTTTTAAAACATTACAATTATTTTAAATCCCTTCGTTCGCAGCGCGCGAGGCCACGCCCCATACACCACGCCCACGCAAGCCCCTCCCCCCACAATATGACCACGCCCTCCGTTACCCCCCCAACCTCTCCCCGCGCTTGACCACGCCCGTTCAAGCGAGCCCCCGCCTCCTTGACCACGCCTCCCGCCCCAACCACCCACGCCAGACCACGCCCCACCCACCGCGCGCGCATTACCTCATCCGGCGCAGCGCATGACGTCATCTCAACATGGTCGGTGTGGCTTGCTGACGGCGGAGCGCGCTCTTTCCCGCCCAGGCGGAAAGGCAGCGCGGCGTGAGGGGAACCGTCCGCGCCTCGCCAGGCGAACGCGCGGCGAAAGGGGGCACGTCGCAGCCCTCGGCTCGGGGTACGTCTCGGCGCAAAAACGGCGGGAAATTTTAAACTTAAGCGCTTTTTTTTCTGCTTTTCTTGCGTGTTTTTGTCCGTAGAGAACTTACGCTGTCCTTTTTTTTCCGCGGGGTGACGTAATGGCACGGCGTCACGGCGGTCGTCGCCATTGGCTGGCGACGGTGACGTGATCGCGTCGCGTTCGATGGGCACGTCGTGCACATTGCGAGGCGACGTCATCGCGCTCTCCCGCCCCATTTTGCGGGCCGTTAAAAGCGGCGCTTTCAGTTATGTCGGGCGCGCTGACGTCATCGCGTCGTGCCGTCGCGCGGGAAGCCGTTGGGGTCAAAGCCGCGATGACGCCATCGCGTTGCGTTTTGTAATTGTGGGGAGCGTCGCGCGTGCGCGGTGACGTCACGGGCGATTGACGTCAATGGTGACGGTTTCCCCCTCCCCCTCTCTTCGGATTGTTAAAAGGCTCTCCCGGGGAAGCGTTAGAGACGCCGCAGTTTTATCATGGCTCCGGGCCTCAACACGTCACTTTTGTCGTGGCCCGGGCCTCAACACGTCACTTTTGTCGTGGCCCGGGCCTCAACACGTCACTTGTCGTGGCCCCGGGCCTCAACACGTCACTTTTGTCGTGGCCCCGGGCCTCAACACGTCACTTTTGTTGTGGCCCCGGGCCTCAACACGTCACTTTTGTCGTGGCCCCGGGCCTCAACACGTCACTTTTGTCGTAGCCCCTGGGCCTCAACACGTCACTTTTGTCGTGGCCCCTGGGCCTCAACACGTCACTTTTGTCGTGGCCCCGGGCCTCAACACGTCACTTTTGTTGTGGCCCCGGGGCTCAACACGTCACTTTTGTTGTGGCCCCGGGCCTCAACACGTCACTTTTGTCGTGGCCCCGGGCTCAACACGTCATTTGTCGTGGCCCTTGGCTCAACACGTCACTTTTGTCGTGGCCCCGGGCCTCAACACGTCACTTTTGTTGTGGCCCCGGGCCTCAACACGTCACTTTTGTTGTGGCCCCTGGGCCTCAACACGTCACTTTTGTTGTGGCCCCGGGCCTCAACACGTCACTTTTGTCGTGGCCCTTGGCTCAACACGTCACTTTTGTCGTGGCCCGGGGCTCAACACGTCAATTTTGTTGTGGCCCCTGGGCCTCAACACGTCACTTTTGTTGTGGCCCCAGGCCTCAACACGTCACTTTTGTTGTGGCCCCTGGGCCTCAACACGTCACTTTTGTCGTGGCCCGGGGCTCAACACGTCACTTTTGTCGTGGCCCCGGGCATCCGCGAAGTTTACTCAAAGAGAGTTGCGTCACACAGGCCGGCATTTGTATGGCGCAGCCCCTATCGGTTCACTCCAGAGCTCCTTTTTGTCGTCCACTTCGTTGTCCTTGCCACCCGCGCCTCCGGTTGGCGCGGTAGGCTACGTACGGCGCGAACCAAGTTCAACATACATAACACGGTTGGCTACGTACGGCGCGAACGAAGTTCAACATACATTGCACGGTTGGCTACGTACGATATGAATTAAGTTATACATACGTAGTCCTGTACCTGACATTGCCATGTTTAATACCAGGTAAGACCCGACCGATCTATATAGCTATTTTTCAGAAGCGACCTGGCCACAAATGATAGCTCAACTTAGTGGCATATCCGTGTGGGAATTTATAGCAGACAAATGCTCTAAACGCGTGATTTTCATTCTCATTGTGGAGGAAAAAACCGGAGGACCCGGTGAAAAATTAACGCGACCGTGGCGAGAGAGACACGCAAATTCCAAATATACAGCATGCGTCAAGTTTGAAATCGCCCCCCCCAAGACCTCCTGTATACCAGGCGAGGGAGTTAACATCTCGCCAGAGTGGTGCCCGAAGGAGGGCCATTGCCCAAAACTTTGCCTATTATATATAAAGTATTTTCTGTGAAGGCAATATAGTGGAATGTGTTTAGATTCAGTTTGCAAGACCTGGTGGTTATGTTAAAAGTTGTATTCTGTACTATAGCAATAATACAATTAGTCAACGTGGTACTAACAATACACTACAGTATAAAACAAAATACAACGTGTAGACCACACATAGTTACATTCAAATGTAGACAACTGAAATATGCGGGTTTTTAATGTCAGAATATTTGAACGCCAACCACTCGTTTTGGATTTGGGACGTGATGTGTCGGATCAGCAATTCCGACGATTAAATTAGTCTGCGTGCGCAACTTACGGCATTGCGACCCAGTGCATTGCTCCACTGTGGTTTGGTGTGCCCTCTGTCTATGCATCCCGTCTTCAAAAACTCGCTGTGGCCAACAAGTCCCGTAACTTCCCCGACCCACACGATTATGGGGAGGGCCCTCATCCAGGAGATGAGGCATTGATTTGTTGAGGACGGAAGAGCTGGCACATCACTACCGCCTTGCCTTGCATGGCACATGAGCTCAATAGCCGATGTTCTTTGTGTTGGTAAGGCCTGAGGCTGTAATGCTGCAGAGTTCTCTGCATCTTCTTCGTGTGGCCGATAAAACCGATTTTTACATTGAGGTGGTTGGGCCAGATAATTCCGTCAGAAGCAGTGAATCACTGTGATGCCTCCTTCTTATTCCTGATTCGGGTTATATGTTCCAATGGTCTGTTCTGGGTGACCACAGTCGCACACCGGAGAGTTTTTAAATTTTCCATTTGCACGTCAAGTATTCACATCTGCCACGGTTTGCGGGTATGCGGTTTAGGGTTGCCCCCTAAGCTTCGCGGAAGATGGAGGCCAGTAATCTGTGGGCTATACCAATCCCCTTATTGGCCACCACTAACGTTTTCTCACCTCACTTGATAGCAATTAATGCTTTGTTTGGACCACAGACTAAAATTTGGCTGCCACCTGGTTTAATAGTATAGCAGCTGGTCCATCAGGCTGTCATGGAATTAGCCATGTGATGGGTTTTGAATGCCTGGTTATTTGTCTTGCACTGGCACCTCATAATGTCACACTCTCTTCACTTTGGGTCTCAATGTGTGCGTAGGGGAGAGTTTTTGCACAAAAGCGATGGGAGGAAGGGATGCCGCAATTTCTGCTGGCGGAGTTCTGAACACCGCCTCTTAGGTCTGCTTTCCACTTGTTGAGTGCAACTACCGCGCAAATAGAGTACCGTTTGAAGGCAGCATAAGAGGGCGAATGATCTGCAGAACTCAACATGTTTGTGAACTGTACGTGTGATTACAGGTGCCAAAACCCGTTGTGTGTGGAAGCCGGAAAAAAAAAATCGTGTAAATCTAAGCAGAAAACTATTTGTGTACTCTGCGAAAAAAATGGCAGTGAGAAATGCGAAGTTCGCAGCTAAGTGGTAACAACACGTTGGCCGTTGTTGCGGCGTTGCTCCTGCATCGGCAGCCAGTCAGGCTGCAGTCGGATTTTGGCGCCAATTTCCATGAAGGCTGCTCTTGTGGCAGAAGCTCCGCTTCTGGTTCTCAGGGACTCGGGGGTGGGGGAAGGAGCAAACTGCATGCCCGATGTGGGTGGTGTACACCTTTGTGACGTTAACCCAGAATTTAGTGGTAGCAGCAGCAGCAAGGTTTGTTCACCTTATAGTTTATTCTATCATTATAAATGTTAACCATGTTAGAAAGGTTATCAATGTTGTTATAACTTTATCAAATCGTTTGAAGCGAGCATTTAAACAACCACATCCATGGGCAACATAGCGCTCAACAACCACAAAGACGACTCGCAATGCTCTTGACAGGAACGACTCCCTGATGGAGTGAAGCGTGTTGCTCTGTAGAATGTGCTTTGTTAAGCTCTACTGCTGTGTGCAGGTCTTAATTTCCAACTGTGCTCTCCTTTGTGTGTGTGTGTGTGCGCGCAGGGGGACATTCAAGGTGAATTGAATCCCTGGCGGCACAGGACACCGCATCCTCCACTCTCACCCTGCGGCACCGTGAACTGGGCGTCAAGTACAATCATGGCCGAGTCGATGCTGTGCGCGACAGACGAGACCTACGCCAAGGCCCTGCTGCGCTTCCTGGATGCAGACCGGGAGGCGCGCCCCGCGCTCTCGCTGTGCGACGTGACGCTCATTGCGGGCGAGCGCAAGTTCCGCGCTCACCGCACCGTGCTGGCCGCGGGCAGCGTCTACTTCCGCCGCCTTTTCTCGGCGTCGCCGTGCGGGTCGGCGCCCGGGGAGGAGCGTCTCTCTCTCGCGGGCGGTAGCGCCGGCACCTCCTCGGCCGTGTACAACGTGGAGATCGCCGGCGTGGAGCCCGGCACCTTCGAGCTGGTGCTGTCCTTCCTGTACACGGCGAGCGTGCACGTGGACGCGGCGCGAGCGCGCGCTGTGCGGGCGCTGGGCCGAGCGCTGGGCGTGCCCTTCCTGGCCGCGTTGCCAAGCGGGCGGCCGGCGCAGCACGCGGCGCGCAAGAGCGGCGGCGGCGACGGCGGCGACGACGTGAGCGCCGAGGGCGTGCTGGTGAGCGACAATCCCCTGGGCGAGGCGGTGCCACGGGGAGAGGTGAGCGAGGGGCGAGCGGACGGCGCGCCGACTGGCGACGGGCAGGCAGGTGACGGGACGCACTCGGACGAGGATGACGTTCCTGCGATCGTCGGAGTAGTTTCCCCTGTGGACAATGGCCTGGGCGCAGTGCAGTCGGTGTGTCACCTGAGCGCCTACGTTGAAGAAGCCTGCTCTGAGGGGGAGGAGGCCGGCGGTGGAGGTGTGAGAGTTGACGAGCCGGAAAGGATTGAGGCGAGCGAAGAAGAACAGGGGACAGCCGGAGGTGCTCCAGATCAACAAGAGTTAAATGCCGACTTCTCCGAGATCTCCGCGCTGGAGACCCCGGAGCTTGCGGCGAAGTCTCGGGAACATGGTGGCAGCGAGGCTCTGGATACCCTCGTCAGCATTTCTATCACGGCCGTCTGCCACGAGGGCAAAAGTGGCGACGTCCGTCCCAATGCAGATCCTGGCGAAAACATCAAGAATGGAACCCGGTGCGAGCAGGACTCGCTGCCGCTGGAGGCCCCCGTGAGACCGACAGTAGCAAAACGGATCACCCCGCTGGAGGCGACGATTAAAAAACTGCAGCAGGGCGTGGAGAAACACGACAAAGCCTGCAGCCCCGATCGTCTCCTTTCTGTGCAGGCAAAGGCAGGGAAGCTCCAGCAGGGTGTCGGCACGAATTTAGAGAGATCGCCGCAGGGCTCCTCGCCGGCGGGGGCTGTGGAGGGTACTAGTAGCCACAAGGGTAGCAGAGCAGCGTCTAGCCCGGGCCTTAAGCGCGGCGTTTCCAACAAGAGACCCTGCAATGTCGCCGAGGATGGGAGCCCCGTCTTGAAAAGCTTTCGCACGAACTTGGTGCTGGGCCGACTCGCGGAGGAGGGGCCCGCCGCCGCCGACCGCCACTGCGACGCCGCGCCAAAGTGGTCGCTGGAAAAGCTCCGCGTCAAGAACGCCTCGAAAATCTGGTGCGACGAGTGCGGCCAGGTGTTCCGAACGGTGCGGGCTCTGAAGCGCCACGGCGATGTCTACCACAGCGCCAACCGGCCATACCCGTGCGCCGTGTGCGGCAAGCGCTTCCTCACGAGCTACAAGGCCTGGACGCACCGGCGCACGCAGCACGCCGCGACGCTGGGCGGCGGTCTGGAGGAGTCCTCGGAAGAGGGCACCTCCCGCGTCTTCCTCGTGATTCCGCCCTTCGTGAGCGGGGCGCTGGATGGACAGGCGGAGCCTGATGCCGGCGACCGCCTCGGGGACCGAGGCGCCGACGGGGTGGAGGAGGGTCGCGCGCCGCTGGGGTTGGGGAGGCGTGCCAGGGCCGAACGGGGGAATAGAAGCGCGGCCAGGAGCCAGAACGATGCTTTGGAGACTGACAGTCTCCTGGCAGATGCGGAGAGAGCAGATGTCACGAATGAAGAAATCTCTAGCAGTGAACAGTTACTGCAGACAGAGCCTGCTGATGTTAAAGCTGACGATGACGATGTGGAGAATGCGATGGAGAACGTTGAAACAACTGTCGAAGGCATTGAAGATGAAATCAAAGCTGTTACACAGGACCATGTCCTGGAAACAACTTCTGAGATTGAAACTCTCCACGGGGGTGCTGTGGTAAGTGACGTGGAAGCTGCTCAGGAGGAGACGTTGTTGTTTGATGGGAGCCAAGCACCGGAGGGGGACAAAGATGATGATGATGCATTGAGAACGAGCCGTGATGGGCAGACCCTTCTGGTCAGTGGAGAGAGAAACGCGACATTGAATAAAGTCAATGACATTGAGTTCCACATTGACGACAGTGCAGAAATTCATGGGAACCAAAAGAGCAGCTCAAATGTTGAAGGAGATTCTGCAGAAGTGGACATTTCTCAAGCCAAGAAATCCAATGTTAAGTTGAGTCCGGAAAAGTTGACTGACCCTAAATCTGGTGATCGACACAAAGGATGTCAAGACCAAGAATCAGTCACTGGCATTGACAGTGAAACGCAGACAGACGCTGTCCCAGAGGAAAGTCAGAAAAAGGTCCCACGAAAACGCAAAAACATTTCGTGGGGCGATGAAGCTGCAGGTGGGAAATTGGAGCAGAGGCTTCTCGTGAAAAAACTTGGCCAATTTGGCGAGGAGCAGAACTTCACAGAAGAAGATGACGAGGACGATAATGAGAAAGAGGAGCCCCCGGCAGCGTCGGAAGGGGCAGACTTGAGCGGCCAAGATGGCCAAAGGGTGAAGACCGCTCGCAAGGGCTGCGGCTACATATGCGGGGAATGCGGCAAGAGCTTCCCCTTTTACTGCCGCTTCCGGGAGCACACCAAGACGCACATGCTGGAGAGGCCGTACATATGCTCCGTGTGCCCCAAGTCGTTCCGCAGGGAGGGCAACCTCCGCATGCACCAACGCAGGCACCGGCTCGAGCTGCTGGCCGAGCTGGGCGCCTCACCCACGTCGCCGGACACCGCCCTCGCTACGCCCAGGGTTAGGAAGCACGCGGTGAGGAGGGGTCCTCGTTCCGGGCGAGCGGGAAGCCCTGGCGCGCCCAGACTAACACCCCGTACCAAAATAACAGACGAGGATTCCGCGGCCGAGCAGAGCGACAAAGAGCCGGTGCCGTGCCGGCTGTGCGATCTGGTGCTGTGGTCAGCCGATGAGAGGAAGGAGCACGAGGTGACGTGTGGGCAGCAGCGCCTCATGTGCAGAGCGTGCGGGCGCACCTTCCGCACGGCCTTCAGCCTGTGGCGCCACCGCCTGGAGGTGCACCACGACTCGGAGACGTTTGCCTTCCTCCCCGAGAGCCCTGCTGCCGAACCTTTATCCTCCCCCGAGGCCGCCGCCGAGCGAGAAGAATCCGCCGGCGCCGCTGAAGCGGTGTCGGAAGCGGTGTCGGACGCGGACAAGTCCGAGGAAATCGTCGCTCACTCGACCCCGCTGCCTGCCGTCTATCTAGCATCGGCCTCTGCGGCCGAACCGTCGGCGTACTCTCTGCTGTCCCTCTCTGACGCTGCAGCGGCCGGCTCGCTCCAGAGCGACATTCCAGCGGAGACTGACAGCGACAAAGAGGCCAAGGCGGTTTCAGAAATCCTGATAGTGCTGGGCCCAGCGCTTAAGGATGACCCCAAAACAAATGAGATGCTTTCTGCAGAAGAAGAAAAAGTGGAGTGTCAAGACGCTGACACTAATTTCGTGACTGTCGAGGTAAATACTCACAAAGGCGACGGCGACGGCGATGACCACAACGATGACTTCCAGGAATCTCAGGTGGAGAGCGCGATCCCGAGCTTCGCCAGCCCAGAGTCGGAGAGCCCCGCAGTTGAGAGCGGCGCTGAAATCGACGAGGATAAAACGAAGCCGCAGCCCAAGATGGTTCACGGGCTGGGCGGCGAGGAGGAAGAGCTGGCGCACGCCAGCTGCCGCAAGCCCCGGCTTGTGCGGCTGCATCCTGTGTCGCCGGCGCCGCGATTGAGGAGGGACGGCGCGGCCAAGGCGAGACAGCTGAAGGCGCGGGCGGCTAGAGCGGATCGGAGAGCAGCTCCGCTCGTGACCGCCGCCGACGCGGAGAGCCCTCCGCGCCCGGAGCCCAACGCCGTCGCGGCGGCGCAGGACGTGGAATTCCCGCACACGTGCACCAAGTGCGGCGTCGTGTTCAGCCTCTTCCAGCAGTTGGAGCGCCACCAGGAGCTGTTCTGCGAGGTGAAGGCGTTCCAGTGCCACGACTGCAACAAGTCGTTCCGCACAAACTTCCGCCTCTGGAGCCACAGGCAGAGTTTCCACTGGGACGGCGACGCGGCTCCCGAAAGCCACAGCGGTTGAGTTGGCGATGCCTCTCGGGTCGCTGTCGTTCGTTGATATGATCGTAGTTTGTTGCATCGAAAGTTCCTGGTTCTATTGAAAGGCTTTGTTTTCGTCCAGTTAGCAACCCAGTTTCACAAGACTACGCGCCACACTCTGCCATGGGCAGCAGTAATTAATACTTTTAGTGGTGAGAAGGTAATCTTAACATTTGGAGAAATTATATTAAGTTGCCGCTGGGTGTTTTATGTCACTTGGAGTGCTTCATTGGCGCTCCAGCTATGGTTCGGCATGTATGAAAAATATAAATAGCAATAAGTGCATTGAAATCAATTCAAATTTAAATCAATGTTGACCCATTTGTAAATATGCCTTCGAGTGTGGATTGTTCAGTGTTTCCCTTCATTTGGATGTATCTCGTTTTGTTGTTACTGCACATTGCGTTACGTTTCCAAAGACGTGTTTTTCAGTTTTTTTGAAATATATTGAAGGTGATTTAAAGCTTTCGTGACTGCAGGACTTTATACTCTTTGGGTCTTTAGGTAAATTCACGTGACTTTGCCGAAAGACCCAAAGAGTATTAAAGGTGACCCATAATTTTCCTTTTGATTGTTTTGGTTTACACCCGATATAATTATATGGGTTTCACACTCACCCAATTACTACTGCCACGTGAACTAAGTCCGTTGTGGCGTTTCTGCATTACAAAGCTGTACTTCAACTTTGCATTGTTGCAGCAACTTGAACGTGTTGTAAAAGTCCCTGTTGAACATCACGACTGCATACAATGTGTTTCTTACGTATTGTAGAGTGTTTTATGAAGCTATTGTAACCTATGATAGTCCGTTGATTCATTAAATATGTGTTGAGATAGGCCCAGAGGCCTTTTTTCTTTATAGGGACAAACTGCGGCCTTCTTTGTCCTACTCAAGTGTGTATAAATAATAAAAACGAATCCCCAGATACTGCTGATAAAGAAACCCACTAGAGCCAGAATTTTATAAGGGATGTATTTTTCTTTCATTTTTAGAGGAATTTTTTTTTCATATCTGTTATCCAGTTACATCTTTGTTTAATTTTACCCGAGAAAAAAAAAAACGGGTCGCTATTTTCTCAGCAGTAACAAACCCTCCACAACAGCCTTTTACAACCCACGTGACCTCAACTACAGCCAAATTGTAGCCGGTTTGCATTGTCGCTGGGGCGCGCATTCTCACGCACTGGTCGTCAACATGTCTGCGTGTAAAGGTGAGGTGGCGGGTGGGGACTCATTGACGTGTTTGGCGAGTGTCTCTTTGTTTTGCCCAACTGCAGTAAAAGTACCAACTTGGATGAAGTTTTTTTTTAATTTACGCTGTAAGAAGATCTGAGCTGGCATTTCACTGCAACAAATATTGTGTCGCACCTACGCCTGTTTAATGATGAGATGTGGTAAAACAAATATAGGAAAGTTGTGATAAAATCAATTGATGGGGTGGTGTTCCGTATTAATTTGCTTACTTTCATTACGAATCCGGCTGCCTGAGCTCAGTCTCTGGCCACGGCTAATGTCAGAAGCGAGTGATATTTGAACTGGTACTGGGCCACTGCCCCCCAACCCGCAATGACCAGTGTGGTTAAGTACGGTTAACCCACCCCCCTCCCTCAGCAACCGACATGGTGTAGGGAGGCCCTCAACCAGCAGCGGATTGACAAGTTGCGCTGCAAGTGATTGTTCATTTATTTGATGAAAATGTGCCAATGGTCTCCATTGCCAACAAATTGGAACAAAAATTGCCAAGGCCCACGTGTTCTCGCCGTTCGGCCAAACGCGAATTTGGCAAAGTTGTCTGCAACGGCTTCTGCAATCTAGACACGAGAGATGCCCGCCTGCCGGACTAATAGCACAGCGAATAGTTGATAGTTGCTGCACGCTCAGTTTAAACCTCGTGCACTTTTCACTGGACTGCAGACACACACACGTATGTACAAAAGAGGTTTCATCATAACGTTTTAAACGAGATACTTCAGAACATAGTCTAGGTAAATTATAAATTCCTATCATCAAGGGCAATATTTTTTTTTTAAATTGTGCTGTTTATCACATTAAGAGTTGGGGTGGTGAACCGTCTCGCCCTTGGTTGACATGGACGTAAGCTCGCGAGTCCCCCCGGGTTTGTGCGGTTGTGTTTGTTGCTGTGCAGATGACATGAGCGGTAACGCGTTGTAATTATCGTGAGAAAGGAGTTGGTAGTTTCTTGCCATTTGGACGCGTAACTCGTTTTTTTGTCCTTGTATCCACCGTATCAATATTAGGTGAGTAATGTAGTTTAAAATGCCTTCTATTGTAATCTACTCACGTTTCGTACTAAGTTTTTTGTTACAACTATATGTAAGTCATGCGTAGATGTCAGAGGACAACTGAGAAACACGTCGTTTGTCGGTCACCAACAGTATCTCGTGCAAGCAGACATGTTCTGGCAGCAGTAGCAGCAGCAGCACATGCTGGTAGCGATGTGATCCTTCTTTCTCTGACCTGGTGTTTTTTTTTAATCAAGACACGACGAGTGTATAGAGCTACATACAAGCCTAATTTTAAATGTTTAAACTGTCATAGAGTAACTATATTCTTTAAACATTTCAGATGTTTTAGCTCACGTTTCTGATTGCGTAGTCCGTGTCCATGAAGCTTGGCTAAGCACCAGAGGCAACGTGGCAATTCGTAAATTTGAGTTTGTGCAAGACCGGCTTCTGTGTCCTTAGTGTGAGCACATTAATGGGAAACCGTGTAGCTTTGTACTAGCCGCGCTTGTATGTTTATGTGAATATATTTTATGGCTTGTGGTTTGTAACGATGCATAATGCATTTGAACGGACTCTTCTGGTTAAATAAAAAAAACGTTAGATTGTTTTTCCCCATTGCCGTCTTCTCTGCTTACCTCCGACGTCAGCATCACCGTGAAGATGTTTGGCTTAAATAGCCATTTTTTACAGTCAAGATTTGGTTCAACGACAAATTACTTGTCGACTTATCTGTACCACAATCTGTATTGTGCCGTCTCATCTGCTCAATCTATACTCCCTTTTACTTTCTTGTACCATTTGTCTTGTTTGTATGGTCTACTGTCCTGTCTTGTCCATAGTTTGTCCCAATCGCTGCTTTCACGTCTGTATTTTCTGTTTCATTTCCCCTGTCACCATTAATTGCCCTCATGAAACACACGGTGCAAACATTAGCGGACTTGAAAATCATTCTCAAACGCACGATTGCAACCCAATATTTTAATTGCCTAATTGTTACAATCCCAGCCGATAGGTAATAACAGAGCCCTCCCCCCTCGTCGTGCGTGGCATTATTCGGACAGACTTCTTTGCCACAAAGATACCACTGAGATGTTTAACCCAGTGACAGCCAGGAACACCCAGGTGTCTTCTATAAAAGCCAGTTGTGTGCTCTCAATAGATTTTAAGAAATAGCGACTTGAAATTTTAAACTCATGAAACATTCTCGCGGGTGGGGTTAATATCTTGCACAGCACTGCAGATGCTTGAATGCAATTACATGAATGTTTTCTTTAAGGGATGCCTTGCATCAACTAGTTTGTTTTAGCCTCCATGTGTGATGCGAGCTGCCAAAGCCAAACTTACAATTACGTTATATATTTTGGCGGAAGTGCAAAATGTGTAAATAGTCCAAACGTGCCCAACCTATTAGTACATCATAATAAATATACAATGTGGCAAGATATTAACTACCTCGCCTGGAATACGGGAGGTAGTGGATTCGATCCCAACCTTGACGCCTGTATTTGAGTTTACCACATTCTCCCCGTGGTCGTGTCGATTTTTTCTCTGGGTTTTCCCCTCCACATTTAAACATGTGCGTATTTGGCCGCTATGAATTTCCACGTAGTAAGCCAACTTCGCTGAGCTATCATTTGTGGCCAGGTCACTTTTGAAAAAGAGCTACATTGCTCAGTGGTAAAATAAAATAAGACAGTTTAGTTTGGTGTATGGAAACGTTGATGTGTACTGTACAGGGTGCTTTAAAACATGTGAACACTTCTGAGAATTTGCAACAATACCACGAGAAATGTGCTGCTGCCCTCCGGGGCTCTGGAGAGCGCCCGTAGAAGATTACAGGCCACGTGTTGACAACGATGGCGAACAAGTGGAGACTCTTGACTTGTTCAAGCTATTGACATAATTTTGATTTGAAGCTTTCGTGACCGCAGGAATCAATTACTCTTTCGTTCTTTCGGTAAAGTCACGTGGGTAGAAATAAAAGAAATTACGACGTTTCGATCGCGACACAAGCGACCGTCATCAGGCAGAACCGATACAGCAGGACAACTGCTGATTTAGGAGAAAGAGCTTATAAAGGGGTTTTGGTCGGCTCAACCCCCATGGGTAAGTGGGCAGAGCTAGAGAAGGAAGAAAGGGGGGGAGTGAGAGGGGATTTGGGCACAGGTAATAGAAGGTGGAGGAGAGAAGCTTGGTTAGTGATGCTAATGGATAAAATTAGCATGTCAATGGTACAGGATGCTGCAGCGTTGACTGCCGCGCTGTGAGAGGAGAGCGTGTAAAACAAAAAGGTTTGCGACATAGAAGACGACCTGATGATGATGAATGCAGTGGATGAGAAGGGAACTGTCATTATTTGGACACACATCTGTAGGATGGACAACTGCAGGAACATTCCAAGTGTGTGGTTCGGAAAGAGAGGGAAGAGCTCGCAGAGACTGGGCTTGACGACAACATCAGAAGAGATTTGATTTGCCTGGAAGATATGGCCACGACTTGAGCTATGTTGGCACAACGAAACAAATGAGGAAATGTGCGGTGGACACTGATTACGGGATATCTGCCCATGGATTGTGATGATGATCAAGCTACTCACCTGTCCCCCACTTCTTAGTCTCACCTCCCCATCACTACATCTCACCCCTCACTACATCTCACCCCTCACTACATCTCACCCCTCACTACATCTCATCCCTCACTACTCCCTCACCCCTCACTACATCTCACCCCTCATTACTCCCTCACCCCTCACTACTCCCTCACCCCTCACTACTCCCTCACCCCTCACTACTCCCTCACCCCTCACTACATCTCATCTCTCACTACTCCCTCACCTCTCCCTCACCCCTCACTACTCCCTCACCCCTCACTACTCCCTCACCCCTCACTACTCCCTCACCCCTCACTACTCCCTCACCCCTCACCTCTCCCTCCTCTCCCTCACCCCTCACTACTCCCCCACCCCTCACCTCTCCCTTCGGTCCCTCACCCCTCACTACTCCCTCACTACTCCCTCCTCTCCCTCACCCCTCACTACTCCCTCACCCCTCACTACTCCCTCACCCCTCACTACTCCCTCACCTCTCCCTCACCCCTCCCTCACCTCTCACCCCTCCCTCTCTCAGTGCGTCAACAATCGATTCCGTTCACCGAATCATAAAGATTCCCCATTAGGAGTCGATACATCGATTAGGGGCCATCCATTTAGTGCGTGGAGGGGGGAGGGTTAACCCAAATGCGTAGCTTGCGAATGGGGGGGGGGGGGTCTACTGACAATATACACATAGGAAACGGTGGGGGGGGGGGGGTGAAGCCTCGATAATTGTCTACATTGGCCTGCAAATGAGTTAGATAGTCCGGCGGTGTGGACTGTTTGCTTAAACACGTTAATATTATTAATCCTTTATCGTATCTGCGAGGATTAATATCGGCCGTTCTGTATGATTCGTGGGTGGGGGTGTAAAAGGTACCGCGTGCCTACAGGGAGCGGTCACGTTTTGACTTTATTAGCGCACCACACTCAATGGATGGCCACGTCACCCCTCCCCCTTCACCCCTCCCCCTTCACCCCTCCCCCCGTCACCCCTCCCCCTTCACCCCTCCCCCCTTCACCCCACCCCCGTCACCCCTCCCCCCGTCACCCCTCCCCTTAACACCTGCCCCCTCCCCTCATCACACCTCCCCGCGCGTCACGTGACACGCGCGGGGAGGGCTATAACCCGCGCGTCACGTGACACGCGCGAGGGGGGGAGGACGACTAACCCACGCGTCACGTGACACGCGCGGGGGGGGGCTATAACCCGCGCGTCACGTGACACGCGCGAGGGGGGGAGGACGACTAACCCACGCGTCACGTGACACGCGCGGGGGGGGGGCTATAACCCACGCGTCACGTGACACGCGCGGGGCTATAACCGGCGCGTCGCTCGCGTGCGCGCCACCGCCGTCCGCGTCTGTGAACGCGCGCGCCCTGCAGCTCGTCACACCACCCCACACCACACCCCCACACCCAACCTCAGCTTTGAGCGAGCGAGCCGCTAAAAAAAAAAGTTAAACTCCTCGTGAGCGATTCGTCGGGCAGCCCGCCGTCCCTCCGTTTCGGCTCTGAGCACACGTGAGTTTACCCTCACCACGCGTTCACACACCCGCTCCTCGCCGTGACGGTCGTGGTGGTGGTGACGATCGTTGTGATGGGTGGGTGGTGGTGGTGACCATCGTTGTGATGGGTGGGTGGGTGGGCACCCCCCCTCCTACTGCTGCAGCAGCAGCTGCTGCTGCGTTCTTTGCACGCGTGGGCTCGGATGTTGCTACCGAGATGTTGGGTAGCCACTATCGCAGACGTTAAACACTGTACACCACCACACTGTACACCAATCACTACACCGAACACACTGTACACAATAACACTGTACACCAAGCACACTGTGCATCGATCACACTGTGCATCAATCACACTTTACACCAAGCGCACTGCACACACACTACATCAATCACACTGTACATCATTCACACTGCATCCATCACACTGCATAAATCACACTGTACATCAATCATACTGTACACACTCACACTGTACACTTACACTGTACACACTCACACTACACAATCACACTGTACACACACTGTACACTAATCACCGCAACGTGCACCACTGACACTTGCCATTAATCCCCGTGCACACAAATTGAAACATCGCTCTCGGATTGTAAATGTTGTGTAGTTGCTCCGCATCACCGCTGTGCTGCACTAGTAACGAATTGGCACGTTCCGTTTACGTGCTAAACCTTACTAAATCGGCTGTGTCGGGTGGTGGTGGGTTTTTTACGACACACTTGTATATATACAGGGTGCTTCAAAAAAAACGTGAACAATTCTAAGAATTTGCAACAACACGACAAGAAATGTGCTGGCTCCGGGCTAGACCACCTGCAGAAGATTCCAAGGGAATGTGTTGACAGCGGTGGCGAACAAGTGGACCCTTTGACTCTTTCAAGCTATTAACATTACATTTGTTGTCATATTCTTGCTTCTTTTGGTAAAGTCACGTAGAAGGGAAACGATAAAATAATAAAAAAATATGTAAAACGATACAATTCTCACGACGTTTCGACTGCAACACAAAGCCAATCATCATCAGGTGTGAAAACCACAGCAAAAAAATTTGATTGCTTGTGTTGCAGTCTAAACGTCGTGAGAATTGTATTTTTTTATTATTTTATAGTTTCCCTTCTACGTGACTTTACCGAAAGAACCATGAATATGAATCACTGCAGTCACGAAAGCTTTAAATCAAAATTTGTTGTCATGTTACATTGTATTATCCGGTTGTTTTTTTTTTACCCCAAGTAAAAATGTTGTCCCATGTAAGTTTCGATTGAAAGCTTTCGTGACTGCAGGGATTCATCTTCCTGGTTCTTTCGGTAAGTCACGTATTGTTTTATAAGTATTATGTTATTATTATTTTCCTTCCACGCGACTTTACCGAAAGAACCAAGAAGATAGTCCTATGTAAGTTTAAAAAAATATATATTTTTGGTTCTTTCGGTAAAGTCACGTTAGGTATAAAATAAATTAAATCACGAAGTTTCGCAAGCAACGCAAGCGTCTTCGTGA